AAAAAAGTAAGAGATCAAAAACAAACTTTATCTTCTTGCCAGAGATATGCTTTCTAGGAGATTTTAGCAGTGCAGTTTGAAGAAAAGGACTGAGCAGTTACTTATCTAGGAAGAGAAGAACAGATGCCTACTAGGGAAACTGGTTCTAAGGCATATCAGAAAGCAGAGGTAATAAGTGAGGATATATTAAAAAATAAACACAACTGAAACCAAGCCATTTTTAGGATCTTTTAAAATATATATTTAGTATTTGAGAACTTTCAAACTGCTTTCACACATAGACATCATTTTATGAGATAAAGAGGAGGAAGTTGATGAGATGCAGAGAGGTGGAGACTTGACTAAGATCATATGGCAGAGCTGGTATTAGAATGTAGTTTTCTGACTCCTAATTTGGTACTGTTTTCCCCAAATTAATAGGAATTGCTGCTGAATGTGGAGATAACATGCAAGAACAAGTCAACAGAGTTCCAAATCAAATTCATTTTTAGTACATTGTTAAAGACTGTAGTTTTTAGAATTGTGTTAAATATAGAAATATCATGAGTGCAGTTAGAGGTATCAAACTGCATCAGTGGAATAAGGAACATTCTATGTACTCAGAAGTGGAAGTTTATAAATATGGAGGATTTCCTATACTAGAAAACATAACTGTGGCCAAAGTCTTGAGTTGCCATGTCACTTCATTGTAGCTCACATAGTCCTAGAGAAGTAAACCCTAAGAGAAACTTGTTCCACCAAGAGTTATGGTCATTCTTTCAGTGCTGAAACTGCTGTTACCCCTTTTTGTTTAGCCATAGCCATTGCCACCTGACAGTAGTATTTGTGACTAGTGCTTAGTTGATAATGAGAAGGCCCCGTCTTCTGCACCATCAGCAAATCCTGTGCAATGCGGAGGGATTGCAAAACAACAAGGACTTGCAGAAGGCAGTTGTAGGAAGCTTTTCTGTCTGATAACTGGTGAGAAGGCCCCCAATCAAGAATAGTACAGCCTTAAGGGTTCTGTCATGTGCTGGCTCTAATATAATTATTAACATTAGGCAGAGGACAGAATGGAATCATCATTCAGGGGCACAATAAGATTACTTCACATTTGTAGCACTGGGATTGGAAAAAGCCAAGCACAAACAAGCCAATGGGGTCACAAACCATTGTTCTAGGCCAGAGTAATAGTAATAGAGGATTTGTTAATTCATAAGACAGATCCAGTGTTAGTGTAAGATGTCCAGATATAGATCACAAAGCACCCAGGAAGCTTCAGTGTGTCCTGGAGAAAATGTAGAATTTTCTCTATTGTTGTTTAAGCAATTCTCTACTTGGGAAAAGCTGTGGGCAAGAAAAGCTTTAAAAGCCTGGTACCAGAAAACGGATAAAGAGTAAAACAAAACAGGGAGATATGTTTTGGTATCCTTGGATAGGACCTCAAATTACATTTTCTCATAGAAATAGTATTAAACACAGATACTGATATTTATTGTCAATAATAACTACTTTTGTGTATGCTTTATAATTGCAAAGCACTTTGCCATACATTTGATATTCAGAAAACTCTAAGGTAGACAGGACAGAAATTACTGATTTCATTCATTCAATAAATATTTATTGAATGTCAGGCACTGTTCTAAATATTTAGGCTACATTAGTAAATTAATAAAAGATTCCCCTCTCCAGTGGGGTTTATATTCTAGTGAAACAGCAAGACATAAAGAGTGATCATTAATAAATTCTATAGTACATAGAACAAAACAAGTTATGGAAGAAAGAGCAATTTAAGGGGGGATTTATTGGCACTGTGGTGGGGCATGTGGGATAAGGCAATTTAAACAGATACTGAGAAGAGAATAGTTGAGCCAACTTGAGGAAGGTAAGGCAGTGAGCTATGGAAGTCCAGGCAGAGACCAGCCAGTACAAAGTCCTAAGGCCTTTGTGTGCTTGGTAAGTTCAAGGAACAGTAAGGAGACCAGTGAGTCTGCAGTAGGGTGGGATGCAGGGGAGAATGTCATAGAATCTCTGCTTATGACAAACTCAGATTCCCATAGTTTGAAAGACTTAGCAAAAGTCTAGTTAAGGTAGAACTTGAAACCATTTGTTGTATAATGACTAGATTCTTTGTGTCCTACAATTGCTTCAGTGAATATTTTCCCTTACATTTCCAGAAGGAAAAGATAAAAAAAAAAAGAAATGACTGATTAACAACCTATATTATAATTTATATTTTATTTTTATTATTACATCATTCTCAGCTAGTCTAAATTTAGTTTCACATTGTTTCTACTAAAGGAGAAAATACAGCTTTGTCACGGTGTGATTTCAGTCTCTACATGTTTTAAGTTATTAATTAAATTGAAACCTAAACTTTGATTTTGCTTTCAAGGATAACACAGTAATCATTTGACTTAATTAACACTAATTCAAAAAACTTCATTTTATATTTGTAATTTTATTGTACATTCTTTAATTTGTTTTAAAGATACGGGCATACTGCTGGAGAAGCTACACACAGTGCAGTGGATTCTGCTGTCAACGTTGGCGTCACTGCCTATAACATTAACAACATTGGTATCAAAGCAATGGTGAAGAAAACTGCAACACAAACAGGACACACTCTTCTTGAGGACTATCAAATAGTTGATAATTCTCAGAAGGAAAATCAAGGAGCAGCAAATGTAAACATGAGAGGGGAGAAAGATGAGCAGACGAAGGAAGGAAAGAAGAATGAGGCAAAGAGGAAAGATAAATGATGGAAGTTCTGGGAATTGCCTATACCAAAGCCTTATGAGATGGATGAAATTTTGTTAAATAGGCACATGTGGAATTCCCCACAGATATAACCAGTGTTTTTTAAATGTATTCATTCCTACAAAGTGATAAATTTTGTGGCATGTATTCTACTTATAAGGAGAAGAATTAGTATTCTTGCATCTAGCTTTTAGAAATATGAAGTTATATTCTCCATAAGTTTATTTTTTTCCAAATGTAGCTAAAATATTTTTGCAGTTAAAGCTAACGATGTGCTATAAACCTCATTGAAACTAATATTAAACTATTTTTGTATCTGCTATCTTTCAGAACGCCAAGTAGGAAATTATGTATTTACTTAAAATTTGGCATTTAGTAACCTTAGTTCTATTTATCCTGGGAAGGAATGACTTAAAATACTGTCTTCTCTTTTTGCACTAATTGTGGATTTTTTTTTTTAGATGCTTGTCAAAATTTTCAGTATATAAGCTAAACAAAAACTGTAATCCTTTAGGATCCTAAGAATTCTCAGATAACATTTTAAAAGACTTAAAAACAGGGAAGAGACTGGTGAAGAATACAGTGAGGGTCTATAAAATTATTTGGTAGCTTACCTATTAGGAAACGGGGATGGTCTTTTTGATTTAAAATGAATACAATAGATTTTTAAGGATTTTGTATTGAGACTGGTATTGATCCGTTAGAAGCTAGGAAATTGGGGGCATGATTGGTATTAAAATATTAAGTGATTTTATTATCAGCTCAATTAGACAAAAAAATACTTTAAGAAATTATTTTGCCATATCTGCTTCTGTAAGCTTTTCCAAAAGGCTAAAACTTTGTGAAAACTAAAACAGAATTGCGTTTTCTGATGGTAAATATATTTTTCTTTTGGGATTCAGTCATTGGAATTTATATTAAAAGCAAAGAAGTTATTAAAAAGGAAAGGTTCTATTCATTATCCAGGTAAAAAATGTGAAAACCTTAGACTTAATCCATGGTGGGTAAGGATAATAGTTTCCACTTTGGCAGAAGACAAGATATTCACAGACCTTTAAGCTACAAATGCATAAGTAAACACCTAATGGCATTTTATTTTTGTTTATTAAATTGGTATTAGTTTTCATAGCTGTAGTCCATTCTAATCATTTCTGAACTCTCTAGTGGCTGTTAGTTTATTAGACTTTATTTGAAACTGTCTAAAGAATGCACTTTGTGAATAAAAAACTGAACTGCTTGGCCTCAGATATATCCATGGGTTTGTATTTCGGGAACACACAGAATTGGGAGAGCCTTTTCCTAAGGCCATGGATAATGCACTAGTTGTTAAAATTGAAATAAAAATGAATTGATAAACAGCTTCCAGTCAGTTTTTGCTTTGCCATGTTTACGAAATGGAATGGCAGATAGTGGAGCCTAAAGTTTAAAAAGTTACCTTTGACCAGAGGTCATTGTTAACTAAAACAAAATTAATTAACAAGGTTTATAATAAAGGAGAGCTTTATTTCTTACGAAGGTTAGCGACTTGCTGGGCGGCTGTTCCAACAGGTTAGGAAGCAAATCCCAGGCCAGAAAAGCTAGGCACACATACTTCCAAGAAGAGAGAAAAGGCAATGGGATTTTATACTGAGCATGGTGATGAAATGAACATATTTAACAAGTATCTATAGGAGGAGTCATGACTATTTATGAAGGAAAATCATACACATGTAATTGTGCTTTCTCTCTTCCATCCCAGACCAGCTAGGAACTCAGTTTTAAGGTATTTCTGGGGGCACATTGGCCGAGAACGGTCCATTCAGTTAGCAGAGGGCTTTGGATTTTATTTTTAGTTCACATCAGCAAATATGCCTGATGGGCCAAATCCAGTGGCCACCTGTTTTCATAAAGTTTTATTGGAGAACAGTCATACCTATTTGTTTACATGTTAGCTATGGCTGCTCTCTAGTACAACACCAAAGTTGAATAGTTGCAACAGAGGCTGTAAGGCCCACAAGCCTAACATATTTACTGTCTCGCCCTTTACAGAAAAAGTATGCTGACCCGCACCTTAGACTACAGAGAATGGACTTTTCCCACCATTCCCCTGAGTCACTAGGAGATAAGCTTCTAATAAAGAATTGTTTTATATAATAATTGAAACATAGAAAAAATTGTATAATACATGTAAGGTATGAAGCATAATAATAAAATTAACACTCATAAACTCATCACCCAACTAAAGACAGAAAGTTGCCAGTTACATATACATGTGTGTTCTTTTGTATTTTCTCTCCTTGCCTATTTCTCCCCCACCATTATTTCTTACTTGTTTTTTTTTTTGTTTTTATGACATATGTATATTCTCTAAACATACTGTTTCACTTTGTATTTTTAAAGCTTTGTACTTTTAAAGCTTTGTACGTATAGTATCTTAATGCAAAGTCTTATTCAACTTGTGCTTTTGAGTTTGTGTTTAAAATTTATTCTTGTGCTTATGTGTATGGTTAGTTTAGGTCCTGTATAGTATTCTGTGTGAGTATACCACAATTTATTCATTTTCCTGTCAGTTGACATTTGGTTTTTAATTTTGGTTAATAGAAACAATACTGCCATAAACATTTTTGAATGTGCCCGCTACACATATGCAAGAGAGTTTATACGTAGGTGTGGACTTGTCAGGTCATAGGGTTTGTCATTTTTAACTTTGCAAGATATTGCCAAGTTATTTTTCAAAATGGTCATATTCTCTTGAGCAGTATTTCCCTTGACAATGTTCTGTCATTCTAGCATATATAAAACAGTATCTCATAGTTTTAACTTGCATTTTCCTGACCTCATGAGGTCAGTAATTTTTCTTGCTTGCCGTTCATTTCCCTCCACTGTAAAATTTGCCTGTTTGTAGCTTTTGCTTTTCACATTTAGGTGTTTAATTTATTGAGAATTGTGTGTATATGTACAAGATGTAAGGTAAGAATCTAATTTTCCCCCCTGTGGATAATCAGTTACTCAAGCCCCAGTTATTGAATGTTAGTGATTTCCACAGTTCTCTATCAGGCTTCTCTGTATATCAAGTATGAGCGTTTCTAGGATATGTTGTTCATCTGTCATTTCCTTTATTTCTATGCTAGTACCACACTGTCATCATTATAATAACTTCTTAGTAAGTCCTGCTGCCTGGTTAGGGCAAGAGGGTCAATTCCCTTGACCATATTCTTTAAGGATATTTTAGCTGATCCAAGAAATTTGGTAAGTTTAAAATCTCCTCACAAAGAAACATCAGTCTCAGACGGATTTATGGGTGAGTTCTGTCAGACCAAGAAAACTGTAAAGGAAAATAAACTCATGACCACCACCCCCTGGTCCCCTCCCTTATAAAAGGGAACTAGCTAGGCCGTTTTTGCCATTCTGCCTTCTGCCATGTGAGGATGCAGCAACAAATTGCTTCCTTGGATGCAGAGGCTAGGCTCTCACCAGACACCAAACTCGCCAGCACCTTGACCTTGGGCTTCTAGCCTCTAGAACTTTGAGAAATACATGTCTATTCTTTATAAATTACCCAGTCTCAGATGTTTTGTTACAGCAATACAGACTAAGACAAGATCTTTCACCTACCTCTGCTTGCCTCTTTGAGACTCAACAGATGTAATACAGTGTGTGAAAAACAAGAGTTCTCAATATTTACTGCTATCAGGGTTTTCCTCACTTTACAGATTGCTCCTCCTCCATGCGGTACTGAGTGGTATTCTGGGAGCACCTCCAGGTACAGACTGGCCATAGAAATGATGATAGCTAATGTTTTATAGAGTGCTTACTCTGTAAACTTACATAGTGCCAGGAGTGTCCTGAGTGCCTGTACATCAATTGTTAACAAACGAAACTGGGCTCCATGCACCTGGCACAATTAAAGCCAGACACTGACACGGAGATTTGCAGTGGGAGAAGGGGCATTTATTGCCTAGCACTGTTGGGGTGAAGGCAAAACTTCTTTACCCAGAAGGTATACTGAAAAGTCAACTTACAATAAAGCAGACTAATAAAAGTCGTCAAATGTATTTAATATGTATATACAGGAACCCCCAGAAAATGACGATTCCACTCCCCAGTGGGGTTGAAAAGTTTATATTTCTTTCTGGTAAAATGGTTTATGGGAGGGGAGGAAAGAGAAATTCTGTTGAGGGGCAGAACACAGGGCTGGGGAAAGAGAAAGAATTTCAAAGACCTCCATCCTCCCTTATCAAAGAAAGACAGGGAATCAGCCCACACACATAGCTCACCACTGCTACAGCCTATAAACAACCAGCAACTGAGAAAACCACCACACTAAAGATATTTATAACCAAGGCATCCATCCAGAACCTAGATCACCATCAAAGCACCCACAAGAAAAGCCAAAGGTTCATACCCAACATATACTACAGACAGACCCTTACAAGTGAGGGGTTGGGTGGGAAAGCCCCATCTAAACAAAAGAAAATCCAAAAATTAGAAGCAACAGCTACTCCAGATGAGAAGGAATCAGTGAAAGAACTCCCAGAAGTATAAAAAATCAGGGAAAAAGGACACCTCCAAAAGGGAACACCAGCTCTCTAGCAATGGATACCAACCAAAATTATTGAAATAAGAGATAAAGAATATGGATTGTATGGAAGCTCAGTGAAATCCAAGAGAAAATTGAAAACCAACTCAAAAAGAACCAGAAAAATAATTCAGAAAATGAATGAAAAATTCTCTAGGAGATTGACATATTAAAAAAAATAGAACTTCTGGAAATGAAAAATTCATTTAAAGGTATACAAAACACAGTGGGAAGTTTTAAGAATGGACTAAACCAGGCAGAAGAAAGAATCTCAGAGCTTGAAGACAACTCTTTTGAATTAAATCAGTCAAAAATAAAGAATAGAGAATTAAGAGAAATGAACAAAGTGCTAGAAGTCCTAGCCAGAGCAATCAGACAAGAGAAAGAAATAAGTGGTATCCAAATTGGGAAAGAGGAGGACAAATTATTGATTTTTGCTGACGATATGATCTTATATCTGGAAAACCCCAAAGAATCCACCAAGAGACTCCTGGAATTGATAAATAAATTCAGCCAAGTCTCAGGTTACAAAATCAACGTATACAAATCAATAGCATTCCTATACACCAAGAAGTCAAGCTGAGAGTCAAATCTAAGACTCAATACTATTCACAATAGCTACAAAGAAAAGAAAATACCTAGGAATATACTTAACCAAGGAGGTGAAAGATCTCTACAAAGAGAACTGCGAAACACTAAGGAAAGAATTGCAGAC